CAATGTTGGATCTGTCCATTTTTAACTCGTAGGATAACAAATACAATTTCATTTTGATCTACTGTTAGTAGCTAAAGACCATTACTTGGGTCATAAAGAGGAAGCAGCTTCTAAAAATTCAGTTTATACGTTGTGTTTATTTCTGTCTTTTGAGGCAGTCTATGTAACTCAGGCTAGACTTATCATCCTTACTTCAGCCTCTTGAGCTCTGGGAGTAGAGGCGTTCATCACTATTCTCAGCAAATCGATCTTAATCATGAATTCTCTGTCTTTTGTTGTGAAATCTCTGATTTAGCAAGACTACTAAGCAGGGCCCACTAATGTCATTGTCTTCTCAGATAACATTTACTAATCACCACATGAAATTCCTCTGGAATGGGACAAGTGAAATTAAGATGATGAATAAGTAAACAAACTACATGACAAAATAGGAAGGCTGAGCAACACACAACTGATATTGCATTCATTCCTCTGTCCATAACATTAATATATCTATACAAGCAAATATCCTGGGAAAAATTATTTGGGGCCAGTTGGAGTAAGGAAATGGAAAAGATGGAGAAAATCTGTTCTTTTTTAATGACTTAATTTTTTGAGTGTGATGTATTACAGAGTTATAATAGAACACTGATTCTGAGGCACAAGTCTCAGTCACCAATTTAGTGACTATGAAAATATTACTATGAAAATAGTAATATATAAAAATCTATTAAATGTGTTTAGCATTGATAACCCAGTTACCTGAGAAAAAGCATTCATTTTCTCCAAACCCTGGCCAATCTGAGCATTACTACTGAAAGTGAAGTGGATTTCACAGAGCCAGACAAAGCTGCCACTTGAGTGCATTGATCGCCAATGCTTCACCAAGTCTGCGAAGTAAACTCTGCCTTTTGATGTGTGAATTGCTCTTTTGTGATCAATAGTGAAAGTTAGAGGATTTATTTCAACTATCTTTAGTTTTCACTTTGAATGACAAAAAACACCTTAACCTAGAGTAACTAACAGTTACTGCTCCCTCCAGCCCTAGTAAAGCCAAAAATAAGTCTGTGCACATCTTATTTCTGACAGAAAGGATGATTATAGAAATCTGCTTAACTGCACTTAAGAAAATGGGCCAAACTTACACCATTAAATATCTCATGAGAATTTCATCAGAATAAGAGCAAAAGCTCATCACACACATGCACACGCATGCGTGTGCACGCGTGCGCACACACACACGCACAAGTACTTTGCTCTTTCACATATTTTACTACCTTGGGGGATAACAGATGGTCTAATATGCAAGGCACATGTGAAATATTTATGAAAAGCAAAGTAATTGAGATAGAAAACTCATAAAACAATAATTTCCTCTACTATACTCAGCAGCATGTGCAAAAATGAGCATATTTTTACATAATAGAATGCACTGATAAGAGCTACAGATAAACAAGAAAAGAAAGACAGGAAAACACAAGTTAGAGTTCCTTTCAATGAACTAAAAAGGGTTTATGGGGGAAAGTACCTGTAGAGAGATTTGTCGGTGTTTTTGCTGCAGTTACGTCTTGAGAGACCTTAAATTTGTATTATCTCTCTCACAAGGCATTTAGACATTCTGACATAAAACATTCCTTTTTACATCCTTATGGAGCAGGTAGAGGATGCAAAGTTCTATAAACTTACACAGTGATCTCCATGGGGTGTATGTAGATCAGTTTTAAGCCATGCAGCTACTTTTGAAGCCCCTGCAGTTCCTGCCTAGTCAAAATTTTTTAAAAATCTCACTGCAGCAGGCAAATCAGCTCTAAAAGTACACATCAAAGAATACAGTTATATTAAGTTCCACAACATGATGGGGACTATCAGAGTAGGTTTCTGATTCAATGTCAAGAAATGGAGGTAGAGAAGGTATTAGACTGGCTCACACATGTACACACCAGTCCTTTGTTCTTCCTGACTTATCCCCATGACACATCACTCCTCTTCAATCTGCTAAAATGAAAAACCTGCCCAGAAATAATAAAACTTGATCCTGGAAAAGATAAAGGGATTAGTCAAAATGTCAGAGGCAGCATGCCTGCATGGGGAGCTCTCGGTCTGCTCCAGATCTCTCTGCAAGGGTAGTGATACTCATTGCCTCGATGTGACTTGAAAAACTGAAAAAACCTACTTGGTCCCCACACAAAGCTTTCTCCCCAAAACAGACTACTTCCTTCTTTTCCTAAAACATCCACTGGCTTCCTTGTTCTTTGAAAAGCATATACTTAAATGATGATTCAGGAAATGTTTAGAGATCTATTCATGGCCAGCCCCAGAGATTAATAATGCAACACACACACTCAATGCCACTGTATATTTCTGATCAGTAGTGTAGCTTGAGAAAAATAATGAGCAAGAAAAAGTCAGGCAGCAAACAGGCTAGAATGAGTTTTTAAAATGGATGATGTGACAGCAAGAAGCTAGTTTAGATTAGGTGGGCTGATGACAGACTTTCTGAAGAGGTGATATTTCAGACGTGGATGACAAGAAGGAGCCAGATGTGTGATGAGCAGCAAGAAGAACATTCCTGGCAGAGCCAGAGACTACTGTAAAACTACTGTAAAGGAACCAAGTTGAGAAACAAACTTGTTGTTAGAGAATAAAGCCAAATGGGAGAGAACAGGTGTAGGATGCGGTAAACACACAAAGAGAAGCATAAACCAAATCCTACTGGCTTCTAAGGCTAAGGGAGAGAATTTAAACACAAAGAGAAGCTACTGGAGGCTTGTTGGTAGATGATTTATATCCGAAAATATAGCCACCCCTTGATATACAAAGGGGAATGGCTAGAAGACCACCATCGCCATTTCCTGTAGCTTTCCAAATCCATGGATGTTCACGTCTCTTATACAAAATGACATAATGCTTGTATATGCACCAATATACTTTGTATCATGTCTAAATGTACATGCTATGTGAATAATTGCTACACTGTGCTGTTAAGGGAATAACGCAAGGAAAGTTTGCAGATATCCAGTACACATTCTTTTCTGACTATTTTCAATCCATGGTTGGTTGAATCTGTGATTTAGAAGGCTGACTGTGGTTTCTCTGGGAGACCCGAGTGTAAGTGAGTGTGATACAGGTTGCTTCAATACTCAGGATAAAGGCAATGTTGCAGTGTGGTGAATGGAGTAATGAAGTAGGTGGATGTATAGATAAAATTAGTTGAGTTTGATGATAGTTTTATTTGACATGGGGGAAACAAAAAATCGGGCACAGATTTTAGACTTCTGATGTGAGAAACTTACTGAGGAAAGGAAAGCTAAGTGGGGCAGGTGAAAATGTTTAGAGTTCTGCTTTGGACAGTCCTGCTTCCACAGGAAGACATCAAATATGCAGCTGGATGCAAGGCTGCAGAAAATGCATATACTGGATGCCATACAGTGCTCCCCACATTTCCAGGGATCTGTGTTTTCAACTTTCTTTTCCTTTATTCTTTCTTTAGCCAGCTTTGATGATTCTGGATTGATATGAAAATAATTTGAAAGAATAAAATAAAGCTCTTAACATTTGAAGTTATTTGTGAAGCATTTTCTATCAAGTTTTTACCAGGCCCACCCTCTGTTAAAATATTCTTAATTGTGAACATTTCAGAAAAGCTAGCTTATGCCATAGAGTTGTATTTGAAAGAAAATTGAGCATGGTCTTAACAATGCTGAGTATGTCACATGACTACAGGCACTTTCGGCAGCTATAAGTATTGGATTTCAGAGGTTTTCCTCACACAGCTATGCAAATTACAAATGTGAAAGAGGTCTGGTTTTTATAGTACTGGATCACCCAAAAATTTCAGTGCCCAGAATATAGTGAAAATTTTTCCACTGGATGACACATAATCTCAAATCTCACAATTAGTCACTTCTTTGTATAAGCTAACAGAGAAATTCATGTGGAAAATGCAATTTTGTGGAGTTAGAATATATCCTCTATCAGACACTTTAGCATGAATTTAGCATGAATTAGTCCTTAAAGAACTGGACATATATGACTGGGGAGTTTGATCTGGGCTGTGGTCAGGCAGATCAGCTTCTGCAAGTCAAACTCTTTCTCCAGAGATAGGGTTAGGGATGCAAAGAGACCTTAGAGGTAAAATAAGGTCACCACATCAACTTATTCTCTTGGTGACATGGCTTCATCCCGGGGAGAATTTGATTCCTTGCTTTTGTCCTTATACAGTAAAAGAAATATGACTAATCTAGAGCTAGGTTTCACATAAAAGCAAAGCTTTACCAACATGTTTATAGTTAAAAATGGCATCTGATAGGACTAACATAAAAATAACTAATATACATATGCATAGTATACACACACTGTGACACTGTTATCACTACTGACATTAACAAAGGCATCATCCTTTTGGAATGCCTTTTGAGAATTATTATGAAATAGAAACTCTCCACACTCCAACCCTCACTAGTGTTTTCACTAAGATTATGCAACCTAAACAATGAAGATCCACCAAATCATTCTCTAAAGCAGTAGCGTTCACAGATGACTCAGGGGACCATGTAAGAGTTATCTCTGTCCAGAGAGAACTAATTAAAGGTACTGAAAACAGGAAATCATTTAACAAGCTATAAGAAAATTGCAATAACCTTTCAGTGTTGCACATTGTATTTTAACCAGTTTTAGATTATCAACCCTCTTTTTTCAATTCCAAAGAGACTGCTTTCAGCAATGATTATGCTTATAATTCTCTAAGAGTTGACATGAGTGGAAGTACATTCCAGGACACATACTAATCCTAGGCAGAAAATATTTAGAAAGTTGACTTAGTACAGCATTAAGCCATGTAGTTCATGTAGTTTATTATTATTATATATTATTATATACATTATATGTCATATATATTATTAATATTCCAAGATCAAGTTGAAATGAGTTTTTAGCTTAATTGTAACCAGTGTCTGGGATCCTCTAGGCCATTACCTATATGGATGATTTAACTGAGTTTTCTGTCTGATTTTGTTTTGCAGCCTCTGCAAGCACCTATGTTCCGACGGTGTGCAATGGGCGGGAAGTCCTCGACTCCACCACCTCATCTCTGTGATTGTGATGTTGCAGTTCAGTTCTTGTGTTTTTAGACTGTTAGACAAAGTGCGTGTGTGCAGCTCCATAATATGGAAACAGAACAAAAGAACAAACCTAGTACCTTTTTTTAGAAACAGTACGATAAATTATTTTTGAGGACTGTACAGTATATAGTGATGTGCTAGAACTTTCTAGGCTAATTTTAGTGCCCGTATTATTAATAATTCCCCCAGAATATGGAAATAACCATTGTTTACAGAGCTGAGCATTGGTGACAGGGTCTGACAGGGTCAGTCTACTAAAAATAAATAAGTAAATAAATATGGTGGCAATATTAGGTAACTTTTTTCCTATGAAGTTTTTGTAGGTTCTTGTTGTAACTAATTTAGAATGAGTTTCTATGTTGTATATTAAAGTTACATTATGTGTAACAGATTGTTTTTCTTGGTATAAAAATAAGAAGCATCTGTATTAACGTAAAGATATTGGGAATAAAACCTTCAAGGTTTTTGAGCATGGTGGATAATGGTTTGTCCTTTTTGGATCACTAAAAGGTAACATGAATGTGTGGGCTTTGGAAGGAATTGCCTCTCTCTCTTCTCTTCACACCCATACACACTCTGAACTCAAGTAGTGACCTTGCCAGGGAGTGGTGGGCAGATAGACATCTTTTGCAATGACCGAAAGAAATGACTGGAAGTGACACCATGCTTATCATAAGTATGTGTAAAACCAATACACATATGGGTTGTTTAGATGCCACGTCTCCATGAACAACAGCTCAGAATTCCCAACTGAGGCGAAGAAAACAGTTTCTAAATCCTGAACACATATACTGTGGCTGCAAGGAATGTATAACTCTGATTTCCAATATCATACTTAATTACTAGGAAGACGACTGGAAAGCATCTTGTTATTCCATTGGGAAGTATCTCTCAACATTAATGGATAATATCCTGACAACAAAATGCAGGATATCTTATTTTCCAATGCTTTTCCAACGGCTCTGGGACAATACTCAGGCATACATTAAATTTAACTTATTAAATTTAACCATTTTACTAATCTAAATAAAGAAGCAAACAAAGAAAGTGTAGGTAAGCTAAAACTGGCTTCTTCTTACTATGTACTCTCCTATTTCTGTCAACTTTTTAGTCACAAAGCATTTATTAGTATAAGAAATTAACCAAGAACACACCTAAATACAAGACATGTGTCAGGTACCATGAAAGAGTGTGTGTGTGTGTGTGTGTGTGTGTGTGTGTGTGTTAGTTTTTGTAAAGTAATAATGTAAAAAATTACCATAAACTATGTGGATTAAAACAAACATTTATCTAGTCACAGTTCCTGTAGATTAGACACTTGGATTAAGGGAACAACAGGGGCATTCCGAAATTTCAAGGGAAAATGCATTCTGTACTTTTTCTGGCTGCCAAATTCTTGAGTTTATGACATTGATCCAGTCTCTGCTTCCATCTTCCCATCATTTTCTCCAGTGTTGGTCTTGTCCTCTGTGTGTCTCTTAAAAGGGCACAAGTCATTGAAGTTAGCACCACAAAAGATAATCCAGGATGACCTCATCTCAGCATTCTTAATTATATCTTTAAAGTCCCTTTTCCAAATAAAGTAATCTCCTCATGGTCTAGGGATTAGGATGTGAACATATACATACATATATTTGGAAAACACTATTAATCCCATAACAAAAGATGAAGAAGATGTGGTTACTGCATTTAAAAGACTAGAGAAAAATTTAATGAGTTGACTGTGACAAGGAAGATAAGTGAGAAAAAAGGAGAAAAACCAAGGCTATAATAAGAGATCCACAGGCTAAATAAAAAGGGCATAAAATAAGCAAGATATACTATTTCTAAATGTGGATGTGTGTTACTATTATGGCTTAATACTGGGTCTTGTACAACTTGTTTATCTTTTTCATTCAAGGCTGGCTCTATCCCTCCTGAGCCACACCTTCATTTCCAGCTTTTTTTGTCAGTTAATTGGATTTTTCTGCCTGGGCTGGCTTTGAACAGTGATCATCAGATCTCAGCCTCCTGTGTTGCTAGGATTACACATGGGAGCCACTAGTGCCCAGTTACTAATATTATTTTTAAAACGTCCAAAATTAGTTAACAGGTGCATAAAAGGACTGACTTGAAGGAAATGAAAGAGTCAGATGTTAGAAGTCTGATTTCTGGATGTATTTAAACCAACAACTTAGTCAATCAATCCAAAAATCCACCCCATAGCCAAAACAATGGTGCTCACCACTCCCTTAATTTGCATATCCAAATAGGATCCCTGAATTTGGGGAGTGAGTAGGGGTTGACTGGATAAGAAATTCCATAGCACCAATGACAAAAATGAATTCTGCCATAACTGAAACTGGTGAGATGCCAGAGAGGTGTCAGAATGAGCATCTGCCCAGGATAAAGGCTGAGAAAGGCTGATAGAAGAGAAAATAAACTCAACTACTGATGGAATGTCACAGTCTGAGCAAGGCAATATCAAATGGGTTTTGCAGAGACACAGCTGATGTGTCAAACAATTAAACTGATCTTGGATCTTTTAAAATAAGACAATTGGGTTTGTATATGAACCAGGCCTAATGATTTTAAAGAATGGCTTTTGATGCATGTCCACTATATCCCAGGCCCTGCTGGTACAGTAAAAAGATATTAATTAACCAACAGCTCTTGTTATTTTTCTCCTTCCTGGCTACAAAGATTATTTCTGATTTGAAAGTGTACACTCTAACATATGGTCTTAGACCACATTTAAATTTTATTTAAAAAACATTCAACATATGTATGGAAAATAACTACTATAGAATCTTTTATTATATAAGCCATTCAAAATAAATAGGTCCTGGGTTGTTTAGATTTATTTTTTCATATCAATAACAACATTTCATCATTCCAGAATATAAAACTAGCTGAACCAATCCAACTTTATGGAATTTATTGAATCCAAAGAACCCCAGCTAAATGATATATTTTATTCATTAAAAAATCATATCAGCAACAAAAAATATTAAGAAACCATATCAGTATCTAACTATCTGCTTGATTGTCCTTGATTTTTTAGGAGTACATAGGTTTTGGAGAGCTTCTATGCCCTCCCTAATTTAAATATTAACAAATGTTTCTGACCATCTAAGTTTTTCATGCTAAAAAAAAAAGTCCTTACTTTTAAACTGTGAGGCAATCCGACTTGAAAACCACACAGAAGACATAGGGGAAGAATAGCTAAGAAAAGATAGATTCCACCCAGTTACCTTCACAGGATTTTAGTTCAGTCTCTCTCGGCTAGTCTCTGCTTTCTTCATCTTCTCACTTTAGTAGTTTCAGATCCTATAGCTTTTCAGAGAAGGGCTGTAATCCATTCTAGGAAAAGGAGATGCTAGGAGGATGGTTTATGATCAGGTTACAGATTGGCACAATTCTCATTGGTTTAGCTCTTTTATTTAAACTACAAACCAATGGTCCTCTGAAATCAGTTTTCTGACATAAAGGAAATATCAACGCTTCTAATTCCAATTAACCAAAACCTACAACCTTTAAACAGAAAATTCCTTTAATGGATTATTAATAGTAAGAAAATTCTAGCACTAAAAGCTTCCATGAGATATTTTTTCAAGGAGTGAGGTATGTCCTACCTAAACATGTAACCAGGGGCACCCTCTCCAGTGTCAGGTCTCAGTAATCTACTCTAGAGGTATTCTCATGCCTCAAAATCCCTTAACTTTAAATAGATCCATAAATCAGGCACTGCAGCTCATGCCTGTAAGCCTAGCTACTCAGATATCTGAGAAGCCAACTACTGAGATCTGAGAAAAGTTCAAAATCAGCCTAGGCAGACAAATCTAAGAGACTCTTATCTTCAATTAACCAGTAAAAAGCTGGAAGTGACGGCATGGCTCACATGGTAGAGTGATAGCCTTGAGCATAGATGATAGAGTATAAGACCCCAAGTTCAAGCCCCAGTACTGGTAGACAAAATATAAAGAAATATATCAATATGTAAAATTGACTATCATCTCTAAATGCAATTGCTTTTCTAATAACATATATAAATAAGAAAAGACTATATGCATATATAAAGAAAGGTTTTATTATATAAAAATGAGAAAGCCTTAAAAAATAATTTTCCTAGTTTACATTCATGCAGTAGCTTTAGCTTCTTTAGCTGTTAATTAATATAAAAAATGAAGTCTTGGAGTGAAAATTACTCAAGAGAGTATCTGACACTTTTTGTATCTGTGCAGGTAACTAAATCATTGAGGGGTAATTTTCTTCTTGAACATCTCAGTAGATGTCCATATCTCCTGCAAAGACAGATGATGTATTATTCTTAATAGTTTACTGACCTCTGCTGTAGACAACTGCAATAATAATATCAATGATAATACAAATAGAAATTAATTTTCTTTTCAATTATTTAACCCCAGCTTGGGTTTTACTTCTTTCATTTGTGATCCTAAAATGAACTCATCTTCACATATTAAATCAAAGAAAATCTGGCAAGAGCACAATCTCTACCCAGTTACTCTAAAAGTACACTCCATCTTAGTGTTTATGCAATGAGTTAGATGTAGAGATTTTCAAAAAATGTATGCCCTTTAGGACTTCTTGTTTAGGGTCTGCAAACCTGGGATAAAATTCCTACCTACCACAAAATAAAACTGAGTAGGTTTTAGATACTCTGAAGACCTCTTCTTCATATCACCAATGTTAAATGCTAAATGTAAGCAATACATTTGTTGACTTTAAATTGGTTAATGAAATCATCTTCTCACCCTCATCCCAAGGAAATTAATTTCGCAAGGAAAAAACAAATAACCTACATATTAGCTTCCCAGTAAGAAGGACCAGGAACCATAGGAAGCGGAGCTCTCAGTAGACATCAAATGACACTTGCCATAAGGATCTTGAAGAAGCACATAGATATATGATCCACCACTCTGAGTACCTGGAGACCCCTGCTGGTCAATGAATGTACCAAGAAATTCTAAGCCACTTGTTTCGCCGCCCCCCCCCCCCCCCCCCCCCCCCGCTTCCTGCCTCCCCCCCCCCCCCCCCCCCCCCCCCCCGTCCTCCCCCCTCTGCCACCGTCACCTCCTTTGGGAAGAAAATAATGGCAAAAGTCGACACAAAAATACTATGAAATATTTTTAATCCTAGGAAGGATTTGATTATTAGTAACCAAAGAGGGGAAAAGTCCACAATCATAAAATTCAGTCTTTTAAATAAAATGAACATATATCAATTGACTGAGCATTTTTAAATGATATCATTTATCCATAGAAGACG